TTTGTTTTGCTTTGTTTTGTTTTATCTGACAATGGATTTATATTACCTTAATTTTTGAGGGATATTTTTACTAGATATAGAATTCTGGGTTGTCAGTTTTTGTCTTTCAGCACTTTAAAGTACACTTAAAATAGTGCTTCTGCTATTTTATGGCCTCTATAATTTCAAAGGAGAAGTTTGCTGTCGTTTGAATCTTTGTTTTCCTGAGTGTTATGTGTCATTTTTCTGTGGCTGATTTCAGGATTTTTTTTTTTTTTTTTTTAGTTTTTTTTTTTAGAAGTTTTCTTCATATTTATCCTGCTTGGAATTCAATGAGATTCTTCAATCTGTAAATTTACGTCTTTTGCCAATTTGGGAAGTTTTTTGCATTACCCAGTCATGTATTTTAAAGACATTAAGAAGAAGAAAAAGTAATTTTTATATTTACAGAGATATTTACCATTTCTGAAGCTGTTTATTCTTTCCTAGAGATTTTGGCTCAAAATTTTTTTCTTACCTATTCGTTCTTCTCCTCTTCCAGGACTATAATTATACATATGTTATATTTTTTGATATTGTTTCAGTCGTCCTTGAGGCTCATATTTTTCTCTCTGTTGTTCAGATTGGATAATTATTATTCTTCTGTTGTCAGGTTCACTGCCTTTTTTCTTTTTCCCCTGCATTCTGCTATTAAACTATCTGGTAATTTATTTCAGATATTATATTTTTCTCTTCTAAAATGTCCATTGGTTCTTTTGTTTTTGTAGTTTCTCTTTCTCTGCTGTGGCTTCCTATCTTTTCATTCATTGTGAACTTATTTTCCTTAATGTCATTTATTATAATTTTAATAGCTGCTTTAAAATATTTGTTGGGCTGGCCGGTTAGCTCAGTTGTTTAGAGCACCGCCTTATAATACCGAGGTCATGGGTTTGGATCCCTGTACTGGCGAGCTGCCAAAAAAAAATTAAAAAAAAAAAAATCTGTTAAAATCCAACATTTGGATTGTTGGAAGAGTTGAAGGAATGTAGCAGTGTTAACAACTAGGAAGGATTGTATTAAAAAAAGCTGAGGAGGAAAGCAGTAGTCAACAATGTTGAGTACCATAGGGAGGCGAGTTAAAGTAATGGTCTTTTTGACTTGACAATTAGCAAATTATTGACCACAACAAGAGCACTTTCAAGTGGTAGGATTAGAAGTGAGATTGTAGTATGTTGTAATGTGAGTGGCAAATGAAATAATGACAGAGAACTTGTTTAAGGCATTTTACTGGGGAAGAAAGAGAAGTAAGGGAAATAGAGGGAGAAGCAAGGTAAAACAAGGTTTTTTTCATATGTGGAATAATAAAAAACACAGTTATTGATTGAAGGGGAACAGCCAGTATGTTGTTTGAGGTTGAAGATACAGATTCATGAGAAGGTAGAAAGGATGAGATTCAGAACATAGAGGAAAGGACACGTCTTCTCAACCCCTACTTCTTTGTCTCCTACAAACTGGGGAATAGAATGCAAGATTGTCAAGAATTTTGGTCATTATTTGTAAAATGTTGTCTATGTTTCTGATTACTTTGCTTCATTCATTGAGGAAAAATGTAGGTGCTGAGAGTTTGGAATAGAAGTTCAGAGATGGAGAGGAACAACTGAGGACTGGTATAAATTTTGGAGTAGCTGTGGGCTGTGGTGGGGCAGATGGTAATGGATATGAGTAGTGAAAGGAGCAGTTTTGTGTTCCCAAATGAGGTTGGAATTGTGACTTTTATGGTACCAACAGTCTTCAAGTTTGAGAAAAAATTCTTGTGGCATTACTTTTCATTCATGTAGCAGTAGAAAAGACACATTTTGGGATTCAATTCTGTATAAGCGTTTTGGTGGGAGAGTTGCAGGGGGGGCCTGAAATCAAAGCTAGGTATGGAGAGAACTGATATTGTGCTATAGTTGATGAATTAGAAGTTTCAATGAAGGTGACAGGTTTACATAGTCTTCATAAGGAAAGAGGAGTAGGAATGTTAGGAGATCATGTTCTGAAAGTGGGAGATTAGAGGTTAAGATGTAAGAGGTGGACCAGTTTGAGGTCCTGAGAATGGCCATTGAGAGGGTTGATAAATTGGAGTACAGCAGGAAGGATTTTGTTTTGATGTCAAGAAACTAGGAACTAGGTGTTTGACTGAATTATCCACATTGACATTAAAGTCTCCCAAGATCATGACAGAGTCTGGAGTAGAGCAGAAAACTGTTAGTGTAACACGTAGTTTGCATTTAGTGTGAGGTGTGAAGACGATGATGGTAGATGTTAATAACAAGGAGAGTTAGAGGCTGCATTGTACTGTCTTCAAAGGAAGAGAGTCCTCCCCACGCCCCCCAATGAAGGCAAAAATATAATTGTTAGTAGTTTTTAGTAGTGGGGATTTCTATCTTCTGAATATTCTATGTGATATTAATATTGACAAATAATTTGGCTTTAATATTAAGTCATTGGTCTTACTTGAAAATACTACATCAAGGATACATTAGATATTTGAAACAATATGTTATTTTCTTTTACAACTTAATACTTTTTGGTGGAGGCAGCTGGATTGGGGAAAGGGTGAAGGACAGTTTGGGTTGTCAGAGGATTCGTATTCTTTTTAAATATGAGAATCGAGTTTTACTAACTTTAATGAGCTTTTCCTTTTTTATAGGTAAAGAAATTTGCCATTTCTTTTTAGCATTAGCAACGTGGCAGTAGGGAGCGGAGATGAGCAGTGTTTTAGATCTTCATGTCCGTTATGAGAGTTTCTATCTTGAAAGATCTTAGGTTTCTGTAAATTTAACAAAGTTCATTAACTGGACGTGAGATGATGCATGATAGCATGAGATTGTTGTTTTAAAAATAAATTTTGGGCCTGCCCGGTGGCGCACTGGATAGTGCGCCGCTTGGGAAGCGCGGCGGCGCTCCCGTCCGAGGGTTCGGATCCCACATACAGACCGGTTCCCGCTCACTGGCTGAGCGAGGCGCGGGGGCAACACCGAGGCTTGCGATCCCGTTGCCGGTCCCCGGTCCGGTACGGGGGCAACACTGAGGGTTGTGATCCGTTGCCGTACACGGAAAAAAGATAAAAGACAAAAAAAAAAATAAATAAGTACACTGAGGGTTGCGATCCGTTGCCGGACATGGAAAAAAGATAAAAGACAAAAAAAAAAAATAAATAAATAAATTTTGACGTAGTATATTTATTTTGTAGGTAGGTATTGATAGCTGCCATAAATAACTTTACACTATAACTTCTCTGTATTGCATATGTCCCTCTCTTTAGTAACTCCTAATTTAGAGTAACTTAATTTTCAAATGAATGTCAGACTTAGGTAATGGAACGGGATTTGCTCTGGGTAAAAATGTGATTTTTCTGAAGGTATAGCTTGAGGTTTTGTTCCCCATCTGTGTTGATATTTTTCTCTCATCAGGGCCTCAGTGCTCTTGCTCTGCTCTTGAACTACCTTGATTACCTTCGTGTGCAACATTGAATTTGGTAGTACCAGTCTTTTGAACTTTATTGTGGGATATGTACTGTTATGAGAGTGGATTGTTTGTGTTCAGTTTCTTAAATCTCAAAATGTGAAGTGAATGGCATTGTTATCCTGTATTAAAAGAATTTCTGGCATTAGTATTCAGGTGTGAGAAGGTTGATAGGGGCACCGAGTCTCTTGTGTAATAATCCTGCTAAACAATGATTCCTGTGACTCTTTTAGAAGCACATTAAATTAGTGAAAGACCATAAGCTTTGGGTTTAGGAACACCTGGGTCACCTAGTCTGCTTAACTTATTTGCTCAGTGACTTGATACAGATTTTTTTTCTCAACTCAAAGTTTTGATCCATGACAAGAATAATTTTTCCCCCAGAGGGTTAAAGTGAGGCATCAATAAGACATTGTAGGTAAAGTACATGGAATAGTAAATGTTAGTTTCTTTGCTAAAAGTTGGCTTATGATATACTTTTCTTCTCTTGTTAATCTAAGGAGAAGAATTGTGAAGAAGCTTCAGGAATCTTTAAATAATAGAAATATCTTATATATATATATTTTTTTTTTTCCCATCCCAGTGATAGGAAAAGAATCATTTGGGCGATCTGGTTTCCAGATTTTTACAGAAGTAGGTATTCCTTAGTTTTGTTTATTTTTGTGTGATTCAGAATTTTAAAATAGTATTAATATAATCAAAACATTTGAAAATTTTACTAGATTTCTGCTTTTACTCATTTTGATTAATTGTCTCTAGTTCTACTTGTAAAGATGAAGAAAGAGGCCTGCCATTACAACTCCTACCTCACCTCCAGTTCTGGCACCTGTACTGAATTATTAGATTTAAGGTTTTAGATGGACTGACAGGGACTCACTTAGTCTATGATAGGAGCTGTGATGAAATGCAAAAGAGGTCTTGTTAACAGAAATCTGGAAGTCTCCATAGAATAGAATTAGCAACACGATAAGGAGGAATATCTAGGAACTGATTTAGAATGTTTACTGGACCAATAAAGACATGTCGATCCTGTATTAGCTATATGTAACAAAATTATGTATACTTTTTTTTGTTCACGTTTTAGAAAAAAATTTTCTACTTTTCAGAAAAAACAAGGAGAGAAATGACAGCCAAAGGTTCTACAGGAATGGAAGTTCTGCTGTCAACATTAGAGGTAAAAAAACCCCAACCCCCCCAAACCAAAAAAACCCCATCATTAACAGGCTTTAATTATGTAACTACTAAGACCAAGCAGTGCTGAAGAAAAAAGCCCCCATATATATGATGAACTGTAAAATTTTTACCTTAGAGGCATAGCCAATGAATCAAAGCATATTTTATGTTTTAAATTATTATTTGGAATAGTGGCATAAAATTTTAATATATATTAGGTGAACATCTAGGTATATTTCCCTATGGTTTTAATGATAACTGTAAATTTTAATGTTAACATGCCCTTCTAATTGGTAGTAGAAAATAAAACATTAGCTGGAAATAAATCTTTAGCTTAAAATAAATGATCAGCATTGGAAATTATTATTTATTATATGGTGTTAGTCGATGCACATTTGTGATTTGTTTTACTACATATATTGGTTGAATATATTATATTGATGGTAATTGAATTTCTATGCCAACATAAAAATTTTGGGCAGACCAGCAGGGTGTATTAAGAATTAGCATTGGATGTTTTATTCAGTGCACTTATTAAGAACAAGGGAATTAGTACATGTTCTTCAATAGGAAGTCTTAGCATCATGAAGATGTCATTTCTCCCTAAATTGATGTGTTAGTTTAGGGCAATCTCAATAAAAATACTAATAGTTTTGTATCTAAAGTTCAAATGGGGAAAAAAGCAAAAATAGAGAGGACATTTCTGAAAAAGAAGAGAAGTGAGAAAGGGCTATCCCCACCAAATATCAAAGAACATTACAAAGCTCCAGTAATGAAAATACAAGGGTACTTTAAAAAGTTAATGGAAAGATTCATATTATCTTTCAGTTCTGTTTTTCGACGAACTTTTTTTTTTTTTGTTTGTTTTTTGTTTTTTATCTTTTTTCCGTGTCCGGCAACGGATCGCAACCCTCAGTGTTGCCCCCGTACCGGACCGGGGACCGGCAACGGGATCGCAAGCCTCGGTGTTGCTCCCGCGCCTCGCTCAGCCAGTGAGCGGGAACCAGTCTGTATGTGGGATCCGAACCCTCGGACGGGAGCGCCGCCGCGCTTCCCAAGCGGCGCACTATCCAGTGCGCC